TATACTAGCAATGTGCAATTAGAATCACAAATTAAAAACAAAACACCATTTAATTTAGCACTAAAATATCAATAAACAACACTATCATCAAGTCAATTCCGACTCACAGCAACCCTATAGGATACAGTAGAACTGCCCCATAGGATTTCCAAGGCTGTAATCTTTACGGAAGCAGACTGCCACATCTTCCTCCCGTGGAGAGACTGGTAGGTTCAAATACCTAGGTATAAATCTAAAAAAAGTATGAGATCTATACAAAAAAAATTACAAAGCTCTGATGAAACATTTAAATGAATGGAGATATATTCCTTGTTTATGCACAGGAAGATTTAATATTATTAAGATGTCATTCTTCCTGACTTGATCTATAGATTCAATACATTCCCAAACAAAATTCAAGCAAGTTATTTTCTGGCTATTTACAGACCGATTATAAAGTTTATATGAAAAGGGTAAACACCTAGAAGAGCCAACACAATACTGAAAAAGAACAGAGCTGGAGGCCTAACACTACCCCACTTCAAGACTTACTACAAAACTACAATGATCAAGAAAAAATGGTACTGATGAAGGAACAGAGAACTATATCAGTGAAACAGAACAGAAAGTCCAAAAACAGACCCAACGCAAATATAGTCACTTGATCTTTGACATAAAAATAAAGGCAATTCAATGAAGAAAGGCCAGTCTTTTCAACAAATGGTGCAGAAACTGGACAGGCATATGGGAAAAAAAGGAATCTAGACATAGAGCTTAAATCTTTCACAAAAAATTAACTCAAAATGCATCATAAGGTTTAATGTAAGATGCAAACCTATGCAATTTATAGAAGATAACATAGGAAAAAATCTAAGTGACCTTAGGTTCGATGATGACTTTTTAAAAACAACAAAGCCATGACCCATACAGGAATAAATTGGTAAGCTGAATTTCATTAAAACTAAATGCTTCTGCTCTGTGAAAAACATTGTTAAGAAAATGAAAAGACAAACCACAGATTCAAAAAACACATAGCTGATGAAGGACTTTTTTCCAAAATATACAAAGAACTCTCAACACTCAATGGTATGAAAACCAACAATCCAATTACAAAGTGAGCAAAACATTTGAAGAGACACTTCACCAAAGATTTACAAATATATCAATATATACATACATTTTCAGATAGCTAAGAAGAATATGAAAAGATGCTCAATATTCTACATCGTTAGAGAACTGCAAAATAAAACATCAGATACCAACACAAAACTATTAAAATTGCTAAAATCCAAAACGCTGACAACACCAAACACTGGCAAGAATGTGAAGCAACAGAAACTCTCACTGATGGCGGGTGGGAATGCAAAATGGTACAACCACTTTGGAGGACAGTCTGGCAGTTTCTCACAAGCTAAACAAACATAAGCTTACCATACGAACCAGCAACTGCATTCCTAGGTATTTACCCAAACGAACTGAAAAAGTAGGGCCACATAAAAACCTGCAAGTAAATGTTTATGAGCAGCTTTCTTCATACTTGCCAAGAAATTGGAACTAAAATGTTCAATAAGTAAACGGATCAACAAACTATAGTATATCCAGAAAATAAAGTATTATTCAGCGATAAAAAGGAATGAGCTAACAAGCTACCAAAAGACATGGAGGAACCTGAAATGTATATTGCTCGGTGAAGGAAGCCAGTCTGAAAAAACTACACGCTGCATGGTTCCAACTAAATGACCTTCTGAAATTTTTGAAATGGTATGTCTTTGGCTATGTATATTTTCACCAAAAAAGAAAAAACGTCCCCCAAGGTCGAGAAGGGAGAGTTTCGATATGTTGTGGGTTTGTTAACCAATGTCATAAAACAATATGCATACTGACAGTGTAATGAAAAACTATTCTGTAAACCTTCACTTAAAGTACAATTAAAAAAAAAAAATGACCTTCTGAAAAGGCAAATCTACAGAGACATTAAAAGATGAGTGATTGCCAGGGGCTCAGAGGAAGATGGAGCACATGGCCACTGTAGGGCAGGAAAACTACTGCTATGACTGGAATGATGGACATATGACAACTGAGCACTGGTCAAAATTCAAAGGACTGGAAAACAAAAAGAGTAAACCCTAAGGTAAACTATAGACTTTAGTCAAAAATAATCTATCCATAATAGTGCATCAGTTGTAACAAATATACCACAAAAATGGAATACAAGACATGAATAGGAGAAACAGTGTTCAGGGGCAGGGTGGACATATATGGAAATCCCCCTATACTTTTTGCACTATTTCTCTGTAAACCAAAAACTTGTCTAAAAAATAAAATCTATTTAAAAATATCATTGAATAATATCAAAGCAGAATGAAATGAATGGAAACACAGCACCATTCTTAGGAAGAACTCAGCGTTACCAAGGTGTCAGCTCCCCCTAAAGAAACCTATCCATTGCCTTTGAGTCAGTTGTGACTCACAGCGATCCTATAGGACAGAGCAAATCTGCCCCAAAGGGTTTCCAAGGAGCAGCTGGTGGATTTGAACAGCCGATCTTTTGGTTTGTGGCTGAGCTCTTAACCACTTCGCTGCCATCTTTAAAAAACTCCACTAATGCCCAAACTAGATTTTTTTTAGTACTTAATACTACCTTTACAAATCTAATAAAGGAAAAATCAAACCCGTTGCCATCAAGTTGATTCCAACTTTTAGCGATCCCATGTGTCACAAAGTAGAATCGGTCCATGGGGATTTCTTGGCTGTAATCTTTATGGAAGCAGATTGCCAGGTCTTTCTTCCATGGCGGTTCAAAACACCAACTTTTAGGGTAGCAGCCGATCACAGACCACTTGCCCCACCCTGGAACCTACAAATCCAACAGGAAGAATGTATGTCCAAAAATAACACAAATGTTGGGAAGAACAAGGTGGGGTCTTGTCTGTCATACAGGAAGGATTTTAAAACTATAGTAATCACTGTCCTCGGGCAACTGACTAGCCAGTCATGGTTATTCACTCGCTTTGGACCACCATTGATATTTAAACGGGACACAGAGTTTGAAGAATATAGCAAAGTCACTCAACCCCAATGTTTATGTATAAAGACGGAAATAAAATTCCAAGACTTCCTATAGCTCAATAAAACATGCAAGTGTGTTGTTATATTCATGGTAAGAAAATGTTTTGTAAATCCGGAGCCCTGGTGGCGCGGTGGTTAAGAGTTAGGCTGCTAATCAAAAGGTCGTCAGTTCAAATCTACCACCTGCTCCTTAGAAACCCTACAGGGCAGTTCTACTGTGTCTTATAGGGTCGCTATGAGTTGGATTTGACTCCATGGCAACGGGTTTGTTTTTGGTTGTCATAGGATTTAGCAATAACCTCCAAAATCCAGATATAGAACACAGAACAAAATTATCAACTATCTCAAATTTTCTACCCTGCAGAGGAGAATAAGATGTTTTGGCGAATCTTTCTAAATCAACGATTTATCTACCATCCTTTCTTTGTAGGAAGATATTCCTCTTTCTGCAGTCTTAGGGAAAGGAGACGTTCTCTATTTCTCTGAGATTCTTCTCCCCCATAGCATTCTCTCAGGGCTAAACCCTGGAACTTGCTTTGTTATCATGGAAAGAAAACAATAGACCTGAGAAACTTGCTACACAGCCTCCTGGAAAGAAAAAAAAAAGTACGGAAGAGTTTTTAACAAAAACAATGTAAGACTGGAAAATTCTAATTTTTTCTCCCTGAAATTCACCCCTTTCTTGCCGCTTTGGAAATATTCTATCTTATGTCTCAGGCTCTATTAACTGAATGTATTTTATATTTACTGCAAAGTGAGACTCAAATAATGAATAAGTCTTTTTAGGTGACAAAGCCAGGGAGGGGCAGTGTTGAACTGGAATGCAGACACGTCTGACTCAAAGTCAAGTCAACCTCCCACGTGGCACAGCCTCCCCGCAGCCTGCACCCTGAGCTGTTCCTGACCACCCTCAACCAACACTGGACAGTGCTCCGTCCTGTGTCTGAAGTGCACGCTGCTTTTCAGGTGTTCCATCCTCCTCACTGGGAGGGTTTTCCCTGTCCTTGGAGTTGGTTTTTCTCCCATCACTTCTTTGTGAGAACACGGAAGACAGGGATACTTTTCACATTTTCTCTTAATTTACAGCATCCTGTCAGCTGAAGACTAATGAGTCTCCAAGGATTGAAAACGGGCTGGTGAAGAAAATTTCCAAAAAGGCTTTATCAGGAGGAGATCCCCCCTCCCAAACCTGAGGTAAGGATCCACTGGAAGGTGATAACCCAGGGGCTGATGTTCACTAGATTCCCCCACGAGAAATGACAGTTGTGGGCGCTGTGGGCGTCTGGGGATACTCCTACGCACTGAGATATAAAATATTCACAAACAGGAAACAAATCTTTTGATAACAGCTTTCCTTTACTCCTAGAAAAAAATAATGAACAATTAAAGTCTTACAGCTTGTTCACAGATAGTTGCTAATGATGCTGTAACTAGGCGGAGGAGAGCTGGCATTTGAGCATGCGGGGAGGGATCTGGTATGTGCAGATTTAATGCCAGCCCTAGAGCTTGGAGGAGTAAACAGGGCCGTGGATTTAGAAACCCGCCGCCCACACATCCGGAAGTCTCAGAGGAAACCAGATCCGCTGGGGGCATCCACAGCCCATCCAGCCGGGCTCACCCCGTCTGGCTCTGTGGAGAGGGGGTCCTGAAAGCAAACTCTACTAGCACCCCGCATAATCAAGTCGGACCCAGTCCCACGGTGTATGAGGGACGCGGGGCTCGGGGCTCAGTCGCCGCAAGCAGGGACAGACAAGACGCCCTGGGCTCGGCTGCTGGCGCGACGTCGCGCTGCGTGCGGGAATGCAGAGGGCCCAGCCGCCAGTCCGCAGACTCGGGGCTGGAGACCGCGGAGGGTAGGCGGAGGGCCGGGGGCCGCTCTCAGGGCAAGTTTCAGCCGGTTCGAACCGACCCTTCCCCTCGCCCAGTCTCGGTAGACCCTGCCCCGCGCTCACCATCTCCGGCTCCCGGAGACCTCCCGGCGTCCTCTCCGCGGGAACCGGGACACCAGGGACCAAGCGGCGCACGTACGAAACGCTCCCGCTGCGACCGCGCGGGGCAATGACGTCTGAGCGGGATTGCGGAGCATCGTCCCGCCTCGGGGCCCCTGATTGGATAGTTTTCCTCCGCCCAGGCGCTCCTGATTGGACAAAGAGGCTCTGCCTCCTTCTTGATGAGTGACGTGAGGCGTCCGTAGACGCGCCGCTGAACTGACCGGGGTTTCTCCCAGCCCGCCTGCCGGGACATCCGCATTTGATACGCAAGCCCCGGCTCAGGGGGTCACGGCGTCTCCTCCTTGGACGCGGGGACTCAGGTGCGCGCAGGGAAACCCAGACTACACTTTCAAGAGACCGACCCTCATCCAGAGCAGGAGGAGCGCCCAAGCAAGGAGAGAACGGAAGGGCCTGATGTCCCCAGGGTCAGAAGGGCGGACGGGGCTGCGGGGCCACCCAGGGAACTGCGCCCTGTTTGTGACATACACACTGAACAGTGAGGGCACCACGTGTGATGAAGGATCTGCCTTCAAGATACACTCTTGAAAATTTGTAAATAACCTTTGACTCCTCATATGAGGATATACGGAAACTACCCGCCAGTGAGATCAACATAACCGTTAATAATAAGAAAGCTACGTAGACATAATGATCAAGCCTTCGCAAACCCACTTTCTGGGAAAACATGTTAACCATAAGCTCGTTTAAAATTTACTTTCTATAAAAATTTAACTTCACCAAAGAGAAAATTAGTCTTTACCCTAGTTTCGTGAGAAGACAATTCTAAAACCCTTGGAATTTCCTAAGAGTTGAGGTGCTTTTATTATTTTAAAAGCTCCATACTACACCTGAGAATGTGTGCAAATGAATAGGGCCCCTATCGCCACTTGCCCATCACCTCATCCCATCACCCCCACCCTACCAGGCCAGAGGCCACCTAGTAACATAATGCCAGGTGATCTCAGAAAGGGGTGCATGAGTCAATCATGTCAAATTAAGTGAATGATTAATTTTCTGCTCTATTTCCTCCTCTTCTTAAAAACCTCATTCCCACTAGCCTGAGCTTTTTGTATTTTTTTTAGAAACAAAATGGTCTCCCTGTATGCATACAGATTAACTACTTGAATAAATTCTATATACTCTAATTACTTTGTGCCTTGATTTTTTTTTTAACATAATGAGGTGCCCCTGAGCTTTCCAGAACCTGACTTTATCCCTAGGGGATTTGACTTCTGGAAGTAAGTCTGTAATTATGTTAACTACTCATATTCTTGTACTTAATAAGCATGTCCTGGATATGACACGACTTTTGGAAACTGGGCTCTAGATACTGATTGGTAGAAATCTGTATAAGAATCCCATTATTCCACAGTAATTGAACAACAGAGCAGGATGACTCATACCAATAAAAAGAGAACAATCCAGCAACCTCCAAAATGGGGGAATCACACCCAATAGTTCAAGATGTTCCAAGGGATTCATTAAAAAAATATTAAACGTCTACTTATAATAACATTTTCCCTAACAACAAAAAGAGAATTGCTAGTTATAAAAGTTTAACAGATTTGTTACTACTGACTGTTGTTATTAGATGCTATCAAGATGATTTCAACTCATACTGACCCCATATGACAGAACAGAAATACCCCATAAGTTTAGCTGCACACTATGCCACTGGTATTCAAATACCAGCAAAGTCATCCCTAGTGGACAGATTTTAGCTAAGACAGACTAGGAAGAAGGACCTAGTGGTCCACTGTTGAAAAAAATTAGCCAGTGAAAAATTTTATGAATAGCAGTGGAACACTGTCATGTAGTGCTGGAAGATAAGTCCCTAAGGTTGGAAGGCACTCAAAACATGACAGGGAAGAGCTGCCTCCTCTAAGTAAAGTCAACCATAATGACATGGATGAAGTCAAGCTTTCTGGACCTTCATTTGCTCATGTGGCATGACTCAAACTGAGAAGAAACAGCTGTGAACATCCATTAATAATTGGAATCTGGAGTATATTTAGTATGAATCTTGGAAAACTGGAAATCGTCAAAAATGAAATAGAACACTTAAACATCAATATCCTAGTGAGATGAAATGGAGTGGTATTGGCCAATTTGGATTAGACAATTATATGGTCTACTAGGCCGGGAATAACAAATTGAAGAGGATTGGTGTTGCGTTCATCATCAAAAAGAACATTTCAAGATCCATCCTGAAGTACAACACTGTCAGTGATAGGATAATACCCATACATCTACAAGGAAGACCAGTTGTCTTAGTCATCTAGTGCTGCTATAACAGAAATACCACAAGTGGATGGTTTTAAGGAAGAGAAGTTTATTTCCTCACAGTAAAGTAGGCTAAAAGTCCAAATTCAGGGCATCAGCTCCAGGGGAAGGCTTTTTCTCTCTGTCGGCCTTCTTCTCTTCAGTGTTCCTCCGGACTAGGAGCTTCTCGGTGCAGGGACCCTGGTCCAAAGGATGCGCTCTGCTCCTGGCACTGTTTTCTTGGTGGTATGAGGTCCCCCGTCTCACTGCTTACTTCTGTCTTTTATATCTCAAGAGATTGCCTCAGGACACAATCCAGTCTTGTAGATCAGGTCCTGCCTTACCAACACAACTACCACCCATCCTCCCTCATTAACATCATAGAGGCAGGTTTACAACATACAGGAAAATCACACAGTACCAGGAATCATGGCCTAGCCAAATTGATACACACATTTTTTGGGGGACATAATTCAAACCATAACACCAGTTAATATGACTATTATTCAAACTTACGCAGCAACGAATAAGGCCAAAGATGAAGAAATTGAAGATTTCTACCAACTTCTGTAGTCTGAAATTGATCAAACATACATCAGAATGCATTAATAATTACTGGTGATTGGAATGCAAAAGTTGGAAACAAAGAAGAATAGGTAGTTGGAAAATATGGCCTTCATGATAGAAATGATATTGGAGATCACATGATAGAATTTTTCAAGACCAACGACTTCTTCATTGCAAATATCTCTTTTCAACAATATAAATGGCAACTATACACACGGACCTCACCGGGTAGAATACACAGGAATCAAATCGACTCCATCTGTAGAAAGAGATGAGGGAAAAGCTCAATATCATCAGTCAGAACAGGCCAGAAGTTGACTGTGGAACAGACCAATTGCTCACACACAAGTTCAAGTTGGAGCTGAAGAAAAATAGAACAAGTTCACAACAGCCAAAGTTCAAACTCAAGTATAACCCCCCTGAATTTAGAGATCATCTCAGAATAGATTTGATGCACTGAACACTAATGACCGAAGACCAGATGAGTTCTGAAGTGACATCAAGGACATTGTACAAGAAGAAAGCAAGAGGTCATTAAAATACAGGAAAGAAAGAAAAATCTAAAATGGATGTCAGAAGAGACTCTGAAATTTGCTCTTGAATGTCAAGTAGCTTAAGTGAAAGGGAGAAATGATGAAGTAAAAGAGCTGAACAGAGATTTCAAAGGGTGGCTCAAGAAGACAAAGTAAAGAATTATAATGAAATATGCAAAGACCTGGAGTTAGAAAACGAAAAGGGAAGAACATGCTTGGCATTTCTCAAGATGAAAGAACTGAAGAAAAAATTCAAGCCTCAAGTTGCAATGGTGAAGGATTCTACAGGGAAACTATTAAATGACTCAGGAAGCATCAAGAGAAGATGGAAGGAATATAGAGTCACGTACCAAAAAGAACTGGTTGACTTTCAGCCATTTCAGGAAGTAGCACTTGATCAAGAACCGGTGGTACTGGAAAAAGAAGTCCAAGCTGCACTGAAGTCATTGGTGAAAAACAAGGCTACAAGAATTGACAGAATACCAACTGAGATGTTTCAACAAACAGATGCAGCACTAGAAGGGCTCACTCGTCTATGCCAAGAAATCTGAAGACAGCTACCCGGCCAACTGACCCGAGGAGATCCGTATTTATGTCCATTCCAAGAGAGGTGATCCAACTAGATGTGGAAATTATCAAACAATATCATTAATATCACACACAAGTAAAATTATGTTTAAAATCATTCAAAAGCGTTGCAACAGTACATTGACAGGAACTTCCATAAATTCAAGCTGGATTCAGAAGAGGATGTGGAACAAGGGAAGTCACTGCTGATGTCAGATGGATCCTCGCTGAAAGCAGAGAATACTAGAAAGGTGTTTACCTGTATTTTATTGACTATGCAAAGGCATTCGACAGTGTGGATCATAACAAATTTTATGGATAACGTTGGGAAGAATGGGAATTCCAGAACACATAATTGTGGTCATGTGGAACAAGTACATAGTTCAAGAGGCAGTCGTTTGAACAAAACAAGGGGATACTACGTGGTTTAAAAGTCAGGAAAAGTATGTGTCAGGGCTGTATCCTTCAACCATATACTTATTCAATCTGTATGCTGAGCAAATCATCAGAGAAGCTGGACTATATGAAGAATAACGGGGCATCAGGATTGGAGGAAGAGTCATTAACAACCTGCGATATATAGATGACACTTTACTTGCTGAAAGTGAAGAGGACTTGAAGCAGTTATTGACGAAGATCAAAGACTACAGCCTTCAGTATGGATTACACCTCAACATAAAGAAAACAAAAATCCTCACAACTGACCAATAAGCAACATTAAGATAAATGGAGAAAAGACTGAAGTTGTCAAGGATTTCATTTTACCTGGATCCACAATCAACAACCATGGAAGCAGCAGTCAAGAAATCAAACGACACACTGCATTGGGCAAATCTGCTGCAAAAGACCTCTTTAAAGTGTTAAAAAGCAAAAGTATCACTTTGACTCAGGTGCACCTGGCCCAAGCCATGGTGTTTTCAATCGCCTCGTACGCATGCGAAAGCTGGACAATGAATAAAGAAGACTGAAGAAGAATTGATGCCTTTGAATTATGGTGTTGGCAAAGAATATTGAACATACCATGGACTGCTAAAAGAATGAACAAATCTGTCTTTGGAAGAAGTACAGCCAGAATGCTCCTTAGAAGCGAGGATAGTGAGACTTTGTCTCACGTAGTTTGGACA